CTTCCTAAAGACCCCCAGGGTAGGGGCCAGCACCACTTCCCTTGGAAGTTGGTTCCAGATCCTAGCCGCCCTAACTGTGAAGTAATTCTTGAGGATGTCTAATCTAAACCTACTCTCCAATAATTTGTGTCCATTATTCCTTGTTATGCCAGGGGGCGCTAGGGGAAACAGTGTCTCCCCCAAACCCTTCTGGTCCCCCCTAGTGAGTTTATAGACAGTCAATAAGCTACCTTACATTTCTTTAAGTTAGGAAATAGTTGCTACTGTTATTTTAGAGACGGTTAAACTGAGAGAGAGGGAACTTACATGAAGTGTTAGTGGCCAAAAAATAAGTCAACGGCACAGTGGAAATAAAACCCATGAGTCTGGATCACTAGCAACTGTATATACACATTAGGGCTGTGCAAAGCTTCGGTCGCTGATTCGATTCGCTGGAGATTCAGCAGCCAAATCTCCGAATCTGAATTGAATCAGGAGACCCTTTAATCTCTCCAAATCGAATCAGAACCCTCTGAATCAATTCAGAAATATTCGGTGATTTGGATATAGACACAGCTTAAAAAAAAAACAAAACAAAAAAAAATGTACATACCTCAAGGTACCAGGCGGCTCATGAACGCTGTGATGCTGGGGAGGATGGAGTGTCCCATAGGAGAACAGGGGTCTCCCCACTGTGCTTGGCAGAAGACCCGGAAGTGGATCAGAAGCATTTCCAGTCCATTTCTGGGTCTGCCGGGGAGCGTACGCTCCTGCCCCACCCCAGCTTGGCAACTGGTGCCTCCTGGGTCTGGGGGCGCACCCAGGGTCCCCCTGAACTCGACTGGCAAGCTGAGTGGCATAGGGGGCCCCCCTGCACACTCAGCACTGGACCCAGAAGTGGACCAGAAGTACTTCTATAGCCCATTTCACACACCCTTAACAAACATCAATATCTGAACCCAGGTTGCCCAAATTTCAGTTTATTTAGCCTTCAGGTATATTTCTTCTAAATCCAAAAAATTGTGCCAAGGATAAATAAAATGTATTTAGGTGAGCAAAATGTTTTAGGAATTCTCCAGGTCACCTAGATAACTGTCATTTTACCTACACACAACACCCACATGTGAAAGAATTATTCCACCAATTTATGAACTGTGGCCATCTGTAATATGGAACACAGCAACTGATTTATATAGTCTGGGCAAAGCAGCACTATAGTTCAAGACAGGAAATGAGAAGATCAGTTGCAAGTGAAGGAAAATTTAATTACCCAGTTTGACTTTAGCCAGAACAACTGGGGTAGTACACTTGCTCTCACAAGCACTTCTCAAAGATCTTTAACAAACTGCAATAATCAGAACTTCAGTCCAGGCATGGATTATTTGCAACAGAATGGTGTAAGCACACATGGTGTTTGGTAAAATCGGAAATTGGGAAAAATGAGTGCATTGTATAAATTAGAAACTACTCCAATTCCTTTCGTTTTACTTTTTTATATCCTTTCGTTTTACTTCTTAATTCATTTTGCAGCCATTTTGTTTATCAAGGCATTTACTACCAGAGGCAAAAAAATTAGATGTAAATCTACTTGCTTTTCACTGTCTCTTGAATACTAAAAACAGGAAACATTACAACAAAAGCTGATCCTCCAATGTCTGGTACCATGTGGTGTCACTGTCATAGGAGGAAAGTGAACATGAAACACAAGACCAAATTAAAATGCCAGTCATTTACACTAGTGCAAAATGTGTGTGAAAGGCAAGAAAAGGAAATGTGTGCAAGGAGAAAAGCAATGCAGGCACTGCTTATACTCAGAGCTACTACCACCACTGATAAGGTGGCTAAGCCTCCTGCTATATGCATAACCTACACTAACAGGAGTTTTCTTCCACATGAGTTGCCCCAGCTCCCCCCTAAGTGACAGAAGCTCTGCTGGCAAAAGCCTTTACCAGAATTACATGGCTACAGGGTATGATCTTTTCACCTCCCTAACCAATATACCATATCTGCTCAAATACAAGATGACCATGAATATAAGACAACCTCCCAATAATTAGATTCTATATGTGGAACTTCTATAAATGTGTTACAGTTTTCCA